ATCTGCCCATAATGGTCCACGTGACGGGGTCATGCGACCCCTTCTTCGACTCGTACCAAATTCGGATGACCCTACGGCCTGCCCAACACGGCGCCCCACAACCCTTCTGAGGTAATAGCACCCAAGGGGAAACAGACTGAAGTACGCAAAAATATCAGAACAAGTCGTCGAAATAGGGGAGGGGGAATCGCCTAAGGGAGGGAGGAACAGGCCACGGCCCTACCGGGCCTCCCGTAGCCTTGCACCACAACCTTACCGTCGGACTCCCCCGACAAAACAAAACCAAGGGGGATAGTCCTGTGGGGACCCTCGACCCCTCGGCTTCTCGCTGCTCCGTCGCTCCCGTGCCGCCATCCGCCGGTCTCGAACCCCGTACCTCTTCTGAAACAGTCCAGTGCCGTAAGCAATAGGGCTAAGCCCAAACCTGTGACTAGCAGGCGCGGTTTTCCATATAAAGTGGCATCGCGCGGCGTTCCGGGCCAGGATACCGCCCCGACCACTCTTCCAACCCCCAGTTGTACCCACGGCCCCTAGGCGCCCGCGCCAGCCTACCACCCCACCCGTGGCCGTCCAGCCCTCCCGCAGGGCCGCGCGCACCGGCCAAAAACAAATTCTCATTCCCTAACCAAAGTCGTAGCACGGCCTGGGTCGGCTGGCTACCTCGGCCGACTACTTAATCAGAAAAATCACACGCGGGCCTGAACTTGCGCGTCCACATACTCCCTACCGGGACAAGGCAGACCTTTGCCCGCGTGCGGACGACCCTCGCAATTTCCCGCACGAGCACTCAAAGTCCATGTTAACCGAGCCTTCCTGTCACTTGCAAAAACCAGGGCGGATACCCTTGTCAGGGTACTCGTGCCGACAGCTTACCGGACCATATTAAGCGATGTCCCCGTCGCTTCGCCAAATCAAAAAGTTATAGATTCCTTCACAGTCCAAGTGCTGACGAGATTAGAACCAATCCGATTAGCCGACAGACTCAGGGTTGAGGCCTCAATCAAACCGTGCCAACACAACTATATGATGCCAGGGTTTCAACCTGGGTCCCCATTGTCCTGACGCCAGGACGCCGGTCTATTACGCATCAATACTACAGCATAAGGTCCAAAGACCCTCAAACCATCCTCTTCCCTATTGCCCTAGACAAATATCGACCTCTCGTTGGGTGTCCCAGTTAGCCTCTTTCTCGTCAGCAGAGTCATAATTAGGGACGCGGGCTTCGAATGGGACCTATGAAGGCATTCTTTGCCTTCTTCCAGTAAATTCCTCACAATCAAACAAAATACTCACGTATAAGCTTATAGCCTCTTTCGGCCTTTTCTGCAGTCTAGTACAGAAATGCCAGGTCCCCATCTGGGCCCACCGTAGCCTTGTTGATCGGGCCAGGTTTACGGCCCACCTCGTTGTTACGTTAGCGGCGGTATCCTCCCGTTGGTTATACAACGATAGGTGCTTTTCCTGGTAATCAATGAACCAGGACTCTCCGCAAGACTTGACTCCTATCCCGCGGAGTAATTTCCCTGGGGCGGGCAACTCCTCTTAAACTCTTACCTCGCGGGCCTGCAACCAGGTTGCGCCGGTTTGCAGGCATCCACTAGAGGTTGCGCCCGGGTGGCACTAAACTTTACCGTTAGCTTGGTATTCCTTTAAATATGTCTCAGAATTAGCACAGGTGGCCCGGCGGGGCATCACAAACAATTCACGGCCGCTGCGGGACTACGCAGGGGTCTGAAGGCATTTACCGGCCCTCCTATAATAGGCACGACAACCTTCGCTCAATCACAAACAGTCTCCCCGCCGGATCCACAAGGCCGCGGCCCTTGACTTGATCAGAGCCAGCAGTCACCCATCCTGAGGCATCTCTCGCCCTTTTCAGACATTTCAAGCAAACATGGTTCCCTCTCGTCAGACTTTATCAACACAAACAATGCCTTTCATACCAGTCAAATTT